TTGAGTTCTGTAAATAATATATATATTTTGATATAATAAATAATAATGATTAAGCTTAAACAGCCTATAGACTCAATTTAGAATTTTTATAATTTTTTATTCTCGTTCATACTATGGTCACTAATATGTCAACGGCGTATTAAGGTAAAAGCAAATCTGAATTCATTTTTATTCGCCCACATTATAATTTGAAGGGGTCCATTTATATTGATCAGATCTATGTCAAGTTCGAATATGACAATTCTTTGATGACCGGTTTTTGAGTTATTGCCCTTGACTTAGTAAAAACGAGTCAAGTTTGTGAATACTAAAGAGACTACAGATTTAATCTACAGATTATAATGAAATTTGATGTGATCATCTATTACACTGATTGGAATTTAAGTTATTGTGAACGTGATAGAGGAGACGTGATTTTGGCAGAATTTTATGTAATTTTGTAAAATCGACAGTTTCGTGGACAAATTAGATTTTTGGTACGATTTGACATCGATTGGCGACCGCCCTTGATATACTGAAAATGTATCAGGGAAGTGTTTGGCTATCACTTTTTAACTAACACATTGAATTCAGATTGGGACTCAATGTCGTGGGAATTGCCGTAGCCTGTAAATTACTGGACATTTGAAATACACTACTGTGATGAAAGGTATCCTTTTATAAAACGCAGTAACACCATGTGACTTGAATTAATATATATTTCCAATTACGTAAGGGAAAATCGGATAGGTATACATCTAATATAAATCAATCATCTTAGGAAACTTTTAACATCTCTTCTAAGCAACAACAAACAGTTGGAAATCGAACAAGAGCAGGCTAATACCGCCCTCCTGGAAAAATTTACCCTGCATGGCGTTGTCCGTCTTCATTAGCCCAGATGGTGCAGAAAAGTAGGACGTAAAACTCCATTCATTTCATTTCATTTTTCGACAACACATCTTACGTTAACATCTGTAGTGAATATCTAGTCACATTACAAACAGGAATCGAATAGTGTCTCCTCCAAAACTGACCTGCACATACATATTATTAACCATATCTCTCAGCTGATCAATCGATGTACTGTATACATCTCTCCAAATTTGGGAAACCGTTATAACCGGTGTTTTCAACCTGAGGATAATAACCCCAAAGGTTAAATTTTGAATTTTTGGGGGGTAATGGGGCGCTTTTGCGGGAAAAACTTAAGAGAAAATAGTAAGGATTTACAGGGGAAACGTAATGTTATTGGTCACGGATCCTGAAAGGGGTAGTAGAAAGAAAAGGGTTGAAAACCTCCCGCGGGAGAATGTATAGATCCTATTTATGTTGTTATCAAAATAAGTTCGAATCAAGTTACACTGCGACTGTATGTAGATAATCCATAAGTCCATAAGATCGAAGTCCGTTCATAGCGGAGAAAAAGAACTGATAAAATGCAGAGTTGGATCGCTATAACAAATCATTTCATTCGTTATTCAGCCAGCCTGTAGGAATCAGATTTTGACACTCATACGTCGAGATATTGTTATCATTACCCACTGTGGTTACTGAATTGAATCCAGGCTTATATATATTCGAAAGTTATTACCAATTACTTAAAATATATTCTATGACAGAAAGGTGGTTTGGAACATCTTTTATACAGTTGTCATGCAATTCCCTGTCGTTATTGCAAGTAAAAGAAATGCCTTCATTTCGGAATATTGTTTATAAGGAGTCAACGAAGGAACCATGTATGGTTTAGACAGCTTCAAAAATATCGTTAAGATCTTACTAGTTTTTGGGATAGGGAGGGTTTGATTCTCCCAAAAGTGAAGGCCTCGGATGGAACAAATGCTTCATTAAGAAAATGGAATTAACGGTCAGGAAATACTGGGGAATTTGCTCTGTTCTGATCTGAAATAAGATCAAATTTAATATAACCCACCCAATGGCATAAGGTTACATTGCTATATACTAATGCTATGAACAAGGTTGTCATTTAAGGTATTTTGAATATGCAACAATCGTTTTTTGTTTGTAGTTATGGAGGATTTTCTCTTGCAGGCTTTAATTTGCTAATTTTGGCATTTGATTGGCATTGAACTCCATACACACATCATACATTTTAAAATAAATTAATTTGTGCAATTCGATATGTTATTTCAGCCACTTTTACCAGAAGTTACGAGAAGAGCATTCGATGTCAGAAGATGCAACAGGAATCAAAAGTAATATATTTGACAGGCGATAATACAAACCTAAGTCCACAATTATGGTCGTCATGCAGATGTCTACACAATTCATTGGGAATTTGTGACTTATACCAACTAAGACTACTATTAGTATAGAAAAGATTTTACCATTTCAATATTGGTTGCATTTACATAAGGATTGAATCAAATTCTATCGTTGTATCCAGATCAAGAATGTGTCGAAAATTGTGCAGGTTCTTGAGTTCGGCAACAAGACTTGATAAATGTTAGTCCGGTTGGTGTATGGTGTATTGATTATTGTTAATGATCTGACGAAATCCTAAAATCAACCTCCAGATATTCGCCACTTTGAAAATTCCCAAGAATACATGCATCATCAGAAACGATCTTGTAATGTTAGTTTGGGTCTGATTTAAATAGTGAATAACAGGAATATGGGATATGACACTTTGCAGTATGTAAGCGGAATGCCCCTGGAACGACTTTATTCTATGAATTTATATTTAATTACCTGTTTAATTGAGAGTAATTGCTAGATTTGGCCAAACGCCGGTGAAGGTTCGAAATCGATACATTTTCATTGTACAGTATAATCTGTAAATTCCGACATCTATCANAATTATACAATTTCAGTGGTTTTTGGTTCAGTTTCCTTTTTTAGACGAAACATGGGTTCCGATCAATCTTTTACTATAATTGTTTAA